CCGCCCCCCGGCGCTGCAGGCGGTGCGGTCAGTGGTCGTGGGGCTCGGCCCGCGCTGCACGAGGGGGGGACCGGCCGTCGGCGGAAAAGCGGTGCAGATGCGGGCCTTGTGACGGCAGCGAGTTGATGGAGCAGGGGCCAAACCCGCATCGTTCCCGGGGAGCCTGGCCCCGCTCCGGGGTTTGCTGTCTGCACTTCCTTCCCCCTGAATCTTCTCTCCGATGCTTGTGCCCGAAAGCTTGCACTGAAAGAAAGGGTTGGGGTTTTTTTGCAAAAACCTTGTTGGTCTAATAAAAGAGATCATCTCTACTACGAGTCCTGATTGCCTTTGCCTCCGCTCTGACGACCCAGATTTTGCTCACTCACCGAGCAATATAAAGTGCATCAGAAGACGACTTACTTGCACGCTTATTTCCACCTGGCTTTGCATAATTTTTCAGTGCGCCATTGTATTTGCCGAAAAGCTATCATTTTGAGCTTCCAATACAATCCTTTCATATTTAAGACCTGGCAGCACTGTGCCCCACGCAGATCCTGAGGGGGCGCATCTTTCAGGCCTGGCTTTATACATCAGCCTCTCCCAAAAGACCCCAGGATCCAGGCCCACTAGGCAGCCCCTCTCCCAAACCACCCCAAAGGCGGGTGCATCATCCCATGTAACAACACACATTTTTTCTTTATGTAAAAAGAAACTAGAAGCTTTATCATCCGCTGGGGCCCAGGGCTGTGTCAGTCCATTTAAGGTGAAAGCAAAAGCAAATGTAATGTTATTAGATGTGCGTTCATTTGCCATGTCCTCTATTCTGCGCAAGCACACGACACACTGAGCAAACAAGAAGCAAACCACATCCTTTCTTTAGTCCTGTTGCCATTACAATCAAATGTACATCCCTTTCAGCTCCCTCCGACACCGTCAAGCCTTCCTGAGCATCTTGGCCAGTACTTCCCCGAAAGAGATTTCTGCACATGAGTTAATGTTTCCACACCTGAAGTGATGTTTTTAGCTAGAGCTAATGCAGCCTGGAGGGCTGCGAAATAGGAGCTGCTTTAAGAGGAGCAGCTAAGAGCAGGATTATTGAAGAAAGAAGAGCTGGGTTAGTGGAACATCATCAAAATCATTGAAAA